CGAATTTTGCGCTGATTTTTGGCATGGAGGTGGAGAAACACATTCGTCAGAAACACAATTTTTTTTGCTAAATTCCTTCATTTAAGGATTTTACAAGCAAAATAGAGAAATCCCCTTAACAAAAGTCAGAATTGCCGCGTTGTACAGGTCATAACTCGAAGCCCTGATGGAATTTCGGGAGAAAGTCCAGTAGCTAGCGCCGTAGGCCAGAGAATGGTTCCTAGAGTCAGGCACTTGCGCCGCAAGCTGGAAAAATGGAAGGAGAATATATGGTTCCTAGACGGGGGGTCAGTGGAGAAGGGCCGCGAAGCGGACATTTTCCACTGGTCGGATAATAATTCAGATTTTGTGATCCAAAAACAATAAAAAACAGCTTCAAAATTAATCGTACGCGATGGTAATCCTTTTTTTCCAGGTCGAACAAGCCTTTGTCTGGCTAGGCTACATCAACTCCTCCCTAAATCCCTTCCTGTACGGTATTCTGAATCTCGAGTTCCGACGTGCATTCAAGAAGATCCTATGCCCAAAAGCAGCCCTGGCCAGCAAAAGAAGACGTTCGACCGGTCAAAAGTAGATTCAGAAGGCTCCCCCCTTTCATATTTATCCAAATCACTTTCCCCCATCCTGTCATTTGTGCATTTTACGGGTTCAATTTTTCCATGAATATACAACTTGCGATGTGTCAACAGTATCGAACCGAATCGGGTCCCCGCTCTCACTCTGAACAATTGCCTTCCCCCTTCCATTGGTGCGAATATATGAAAATTTTATTACTGGGATTTATGGATGCGCTTGATAAAGAAATATTTGAACAACAAGTTCAAGATCATACACTCAAGGGAACAATGAAGGGAAGAAGCCGAGCCTACGTTTGGTCACCCACTCGCCACACAGCTGGCTCACTAGAAAGGCACATCAGCTTTCGAAAAATGTTCAAGCCTAAGTCTAAGCCTCAGTCTGAGCTGAAGCCTAAGCCTAAGCCTAAGCCTAAGCCTAAGCCTAAGCCTAAGCCTAAGCCTAAGCCTAAGCCTAAGCCTACGAAACTTCATGAACGGTTCAGAAAGCAACCGCACTTGACAAACATAGGCACGGTAACTCGAGCCTAGCGGAAGAACCCTCTCTCTTTCTGCAGTCTGGCGCGCCAGGAATACACGGAACTCTTCTGGGATACAATTCCCCCTTGAACCACCTGGCTTTCCATGCGATTTTTAAAAATTTTTGGTCTTGAAAGGGGGTGTGACAGTTAGCTGTGGTAGAGATACGTTTTCAAAAATATTTGTTTTGATAGAACTGTAAAGTCAGGTTTGACGTAGTCAGTGGCGCGATGTACCATCCGTAATGCCATGTAGCATAACCTGGGTTGACTTAAAGTAGCATTGTTGGATGTATTTATTTATTAGTATTGCATGTATTGTATGTAATATGGCGTAACCGTACTCAACGGTAGCGTAACGTAGCGCATCGTAGCATATCCTAGGCACTGAAACGTAGCGTAACTGACTTTTGCCTTTGATTCTACCTTCAGATTCCCTTTAAACATGACTTGTTGAAGCGAGGCACCCAGTATAATTAATTTAAAAATACTGTGTCCCTCGCATTGCATATTAAATCATAATCCCTTTCCCACGTGAAATTCTTGTCTGTTGATCAGCATTGCCTAATTAATCCCGTTCCACTCTGTCCCGCTTGGATATGTTGACTGTAAGCTTTTGAGGGATCGTCTCGTCTACCCTTCGCCAGTGTGTGGGTCTATTTGCCCACCGAGTGACCCTCGGGGGGTTCCTCCTTCTCCCCCTCATCCTCTACCTCTACCTCTTCTTGGGTCGGTGTCTAGCACTGACCCAAGAGATCAACTCATCCAACCTTTCCACTTCCCACCTATCGCCACCCACCTAGTGATATCTCGGATAAATTTTCTCGGTTTTAGGGTATTTCTATCCCTTTTGTAAGCGTTTTAAATTGTCTTTCTAACTCGGAAACTCGGAATTATCTTGGTGACCGAATTTCGTGGCGATAGGTGTCAATCGTACTCTGACAGCCACCCTGCTCCTAATGCCTCTGCCGCGGGTTGCTGTAAGTGTGCTTCGTAGTCGCTACTTCAGGTTTCTTCGTGCTCCCTGATTCGGTCGGTTACGCATATTTTGTGCTCAGAAAGTCATTCTTATCTTAACCTTCCTTAGTCGGGCGGCGGTATTTGTTTTTCGTACTGGAAAGGTCACACTTATTGTGGTGCTCCATGACTCGGATGGTTATAGGTATCTTCCGGACTCAGAAAGTAACTCTGATCTTGAAGTTCCTGGATCAGGTGACCAGAGGTGTCTTTCGTACTTGGACAGCTTACTGCTTTCTGGCAAATAAAATCAACATGAAATCTTCCCCGATCACGTTAAAAACTAAATAGCCTCCCTAAGAACTCTGCTAGCTGGCCATTCGGCTGTAATAGCTTGTCCAGATGTGACTCACGTCCAATCACTTTCGAAAAAATCATCTTCGTCCGTTTAGTGCATTTTTACTGTAGATTCTAAGCTTTCCAACGCCTTTAAAAACTACCACTACTTAAGTATAGTATTCACGCATCTGTTTTAACAGTCAGAAACCTAATGCAAGTCCAACAACATCCTTTTCCTTGCATCAACGTCCTCGCCCATCAAAAATTAATTAGCCGCAAGTTGTGCTGGGTCAGCCGGGGCATCCTGTCAACAGTAGTCGGCCGTAGTTGACGATGTTCCAATTATTGCCCTATTTCTCGTGTTCTCGAGTCCTGTAATTTTGGCAATTTTAGAAGGACCTTGCGGTAGAGAGGCGGCACAATCAGTCAGCGAATGGTCCTCCGAGCACCATTTCTTGGCAACAACGCGATATGAGGAATGAGCTCGGGCTCTTCGTGATATTTGCATGTGTTTTTGAGATTGGTGAGTTTCAAAAATTTGGTTAGGGCTCTTAAGGGCTCTTGAGGGATCTTGAAGCCAGGTGCATTTTTTTCAAGTATTTAAAAGTCTGAACTACTCGTTTTTAAACGTTTTAAGTGCGTTTTCGACCCTAAATTCTTTTGCGTTGTAGTCTGCCAATCCGTCGACATTCGATGCTATTCTTGTACTTCGATGGAAGCCGAGCAATTGTTGAATGATGTTACAGACCCAAATTGGAGAAGGTATCCCCTATTTCCGGCTCTACAAGGAAATTTAGGTGGCTCGAAAACGTCAGAAATGTGCCTTACACCGAAACGTGTAAAGATTACTTCCAGGTAGATAAACGACAAAACCTATCGCTAAAAAGGAGTTTTTTAGGTTGATCGAGCAATTCGGTCCGGCGTGAAAAACCAGAATTGCGAGGATGGTGCCTGCATGAAAATGTGGTTCCAAGAGGTTAATGGTGAGCTTGGGGCAATTTTTAGTGCTCTAGCGCCTTAGAATGCACCTAATTAGGGCTACCAAATACCAAATCTTAGAAAAAGGACAAGAAATAGATAATTATCCTTATTACCAGGCGCCTCTCACGTTTGGCGAAGCTGCATCCCGAATGCTCGCGATCAGATTCGGAGTGATTGTACGAGAGTGAGCACGAGTCAAGGTAAGTGTATTTCTCGCTCTCTCTCTCTGTCTGTCTGTCTCTCTGTCTCTCATTCGCTTTCTCGCCCGAATTGTCTCCTAAATACTTGGAGATCGAATCCGTGACATTTCGTCCATTTCGGCCCACCCAATGTAGCAACACTTTTTTGCTCAACCCTGGACTATAGCCGACCTCGCCGACATTGTGCATCTGATCTCACGAACCCGTGGGACCCACCCGCGAAGAGTAGCCAGCCACCAGTCGTCCCGCCGGCTATTTACCCGCTGGATTACCCATTTTGCGTCTTTTCCTCCGGCGAAAAACGGGCCGTGGGACCCAGCAAATGTTACGGCGGGGAATGTTTCACCAGATGTTCGTCTACTGGGAGTGTGTGGCTGCAAAAACGTTCTATGGTTAGGCCAAAATGAGTTAAAAATAAGCTCAAATTCAGGATTTTGTACCCAGAAAACTGCCGCTAGTGCGAGAAACCTTACAAAAAAGCTAAACGCCAATCTTATCATAAAACTATCATATCGGCATCGGCATACGATCTTTATCTTAATCTACCGCTCTGTCTCTCTCTCTCTCTCTCTCTCTCTCTCTCTCTCTCTCTTTCTTTCTTTCTTTCTTTCTCTTTCCTTGGCTAATTCCCAAATTACAGGCGAAATGGAAGTGTGCACGTGTACCGGAAACCTATGCAATTTTAGTCCTCAACGATCCGCGTATTTCATCAGTATTTTTGTACTTTGTGCCCTCCTCCCGCTGATTCTGTGATAAAATACTTTTATTCTTTTGTCTTCTGCACTCCAAGACATAAAGATATTATGAAAAAGCGCACACCACAGCTTGTGTGTTATTTTGGACTGCATACCCAATATTTTGAGGGGAATACCCAAAAAGGCAAAATAAAAGACGTGAAGACATTGAAATGCCTGATTAGCGGTTGGGGAATACTCCTGAAAAATAGGTATTGGTCGGCTTCGGTTAGGCTTAAGCTTCGGCTTGGGCGTAACCTTAGTATTAAGTGACTTGGTAGTACTATCAGATAAACGCGAAATTGAGGCAGCACCAAAGGTACGAATAAGGCCCGAGGAGCGGTGTTTAGGTAGGTTTTGAGGGGTTGGGAAGCTCGACTGGCCGCATCACAGTAATTTGTAGAATATGGGGAGGCTTCGAAAGAATTCGGGACTGGTCATATTGAGCTGGGGCAGGAAAGAGTGGAAATACACATAACAAGGGTGACAAAGTGAATATAATATACTCGTATCACAGTAAACTGGTGGGGCTGGGAAAGGGAGGAGTTGAGCCGGTTTTAATGATTTCCTTAGGCTTAAGCCTAGGCTTAGGTTTTGGCTTATGCTTAGGCTTAGGCTTAGGCTTAAAACTCGACTCAACCCATCCCATCAGCAATTATTTACATATTATGCCATCACAGGTCGCTCTTTGGTCTACATCTGGGTCTCCGAGTTGTTGCGCAGGAACGGGATAAAGCTGCGGAAATGACGCTTCCGGTTGTTTCGGTTATCCGAATTATCCGGCGCGGTGAGGACCCCGAGTTGTGATGGGGTCAGCATGCATAGTGCTGAAGCAACGGCGAGACCGGAGGTGCCGTTGGGAGTCGTTTGACGGCCTCCTAGAAGTTTCGTTGCCTATTCAAAATTTTAATTGTGCATACCTGTAGGCAACCGCACGGCTAACGTGTAGACTCCAGCTTTGTAGCCCGCGCAAGGTTCGATTGAGATTGGGGTAGCGATCTGGAATTTTTGCTTGGCTTTTGGACTCAATTCTTTCGATCTCTCTACCACTCTCTTTCTCTCTCACGCTCTCTCTCTCTCTCTCTCTCTCTCTCTCTCTCTCTTTTCTCCCCGTCGCTCGAACTTACCGAATTCGTATATGGATTTGTCAGCTCCAACCGCACAGATGAAAAAGGCCGAGATGCCATCTAAAAATAAGTTATAGCACTTCATTCATGTAAATTGGGGTTTTCCGCGGTAAGAGTTTACTTTACCCCCCCACAGCCGAAGGGTCTCAAAGTTGTCGGTATTTTCGCTTATTTTGTCGGGATTTTTGCAACGCCATTCGATAGAGCGTCGAAAAATATACTAAGAGTTTTAATTTGAGCCTACAATAATGTAAAATAAAAAAGTTATAGCCAAAAACTTCCGGCTGGGGGGTAAAGTAAACCGTAGCCTTTTCCGCTCCTCTCGACCCCCGTCAATTTTATCTTTATCCCTAAAAGCACATCAAGCCAAAAATTTTCTCGTGTCTCCCTCCTCAACGGGCCGCCAGCGGGATCTGAAACCCGGGATTGGACTCAAAACGTCCAGGCTGTTATGCAAAATTGAGCAAAAATGAGGAAAGAACAGTCAATTAGCGAAAAAGATCAAGCCGGCGGGGTCGGCGAGGTAGGCGCTGAAAAGAAGAAGGGAAAGCTGCGGAAGCTCCGAAGCCCACTGACGACGGTTGGACCCACGTGTTCGATCTCGTTGATGCGGTTTTGATTGCGGCGGTAGACTTCGATTCGGAGCTTGATCATCCACAGTAGACCGGCGACGACGAGGAGCACGATGAAGCAGCTGGAAATGTGATATGTATTCTTCAGGGTTTGAGAGATGCTGGACCGATTTTTAAGGATTCTGATGCGATCCTAAGCATTAACCCAAGCCTCAGCCTGAGCTTGAACCTAAGGCCCCAGCCTAAGCCGAAGCCTAAGCCTACAGGTAAACCAAACCACCTTCCTTACCCCACAGAATACAACAACGCGTGCATCCAAAATTTCGACTCGAAAAACGGCAAATTGCGGCTAGGCCAAGTCGAATTTCGTTCGAATCCGACCGGAATTTGCAAACATCTGGACTGGCCCGTGTATGAGCAATCGAACTGGCCAGCTGGCGGCAAAAGGCTCGGATTTTCGGAGGACATCGATCAAAGCGGCTGGGCCTTATTTATCGCCCAATTTCCAAGTAATAGAGAAGGGCTCCAGACCCTCGCGCTGCCATCGGATTTTTGTTTGCCCGGCTACTTTGTGCCCCGACCCTTCGATGTTTAGCTAGGGGGGTGGGTGGGCAGTTGAACCGATTACGAGATGTTATTGCTGGGGTTTGATGGGACTTACGCTGCGAAGATGACAAAGAAGAGCACCCAGTTGATGGGTGGGGACTGGGCGAAGGATACTTGGATGGTGATCGGGGTGGTGAAGTTGGAGACTTTGACCTGGAACGAAAAGATCATCAGAGACAAGCCTAACTAGGGTTCTTTAGGATTTCCGGGGGGGGAAACCAAATTTTTTCCTGTTTTTCCCGGTTGACCTAGTAATCAAATATAAAGTGTTTTCACATTGTTTTTAGTAAATTTTAACTATATTTAAAGTAGAAAAACCTTTCAAAAAAGTTAGAAAAATGTTTGAAAAAGTCGAAAATTGGTCATTTTGGGTCTTTCCCCCCCGCTAATCCTAAAGGTTCTATAGGATTTTTCGACCTAAAATTAAATTTTTTAATTAAAATGTGGGTAGTTTTTATGCTCAGGAATAGTTAAAAACCATTTAGAAACGCATGCGCTATTTAGAAAAAAATTTAGGCTTGGGCCGAAAAAATTTGGTTTCCCCGGAAATACTTTCCCCTTTCCCCGGAAATCCTAAAGAACCCTAACTAGGAAGGCTAGTAAGGCTAAACCTAAGGCCAAGCCCAAGCCTAAGCCTTAAGCCGATACTTACGTAAAACGTCGTGTTCGCATCAGTGCCAAAAGCATATCCCGGGTCGTTCGCAAGATACACTCTCCGGAGCCCCTTCGAGTCACAGGTGGTGTGGACCATCATCTGCTTCGTGTGTCCGAAGCCTAAAACATATTTATTTTCAAAGACTAAGCAGCGCTTAGAAAAAAAGGTTAGAAAAAACGATAAAATCGTACCCAAATGTCCATCAAAAATGTTGCTCGTTAAATTTAGAGCCACTTGTGCGGTCCCATTCTCGCAATGAATTTGGAAGGTGACGTCGGTGTCTCGCTAGGAATAAGGTAGGTTAAAGGGATAGTGCAAGTTACCTTGTAAGGCGTCGAAAACAGGAAAATCTCGTTGACATGCTTGTCCTGGTTGTCGTTCTTCAGCTTGAAGGTGAAGATGAAGTCCACCGCAAGCTCGTCTAGAAAAAACCCGATAAAAACTAAAAGAATTTCTCACATTTGCAAATATCGCCTGCCGTCACGTTTCCGATGTACTTTGTATCGCAGCGGTCACAATGTTCCCCGACGACACCCTTGGTCATACAGTAGCAAGCGCCAGTCTCGTTGTCGCAGTCTTCTGCTTGGCCGTTGCACTCACAAACTAAAAACGTGGATAGAATGATGTACTGTAAAAATATCTAGTTATGGGCTATAGAAAGGAAGGAAATAGAATTTCAGACGGTAACTTACGCTTGCAAGTTCCGCCATTCCTGGCGTCACCGAAGAACCCAGGAGCGCAATACCGGCAATGCTCTCCAGTGGTGTTATTTGAGCAAGCCTTGCACTGCAACGTCTTCTGGTCGGAGCGGGCCGGTTTTTCGCAAGTAGCGTGACCGTTGCATTGGCAGGCTAAAAAAGATATTACGAAGGTATTTAAATTTCGATGATTCGACATGGTGCGTCAGAACGGATACGTCATGTAATTCCGCCAAAGGTCAATTCTCAACATTCTCCCCATTCCTACCTGGACAAGCCGTGAAGAACCACTGCCCATCCGCCACCTCTATACTGCTATTCCGAGGCCCATTGTCGCTTCCTAAAATGTGGATTTTTCATTTATTCCACCTCCCCATACCTTGAACACAGTCACCAAGCCCTGTCTCCGATCCATCATCAATCCAGCCGCAACCCGGCTGACTCTGGCACTCCTGGCAGGTCTTGTGGTCTTGGCACGTTGCTGATTCTGAACAAAGAAACGCATAAAATAGACTTTCGTTTCGTTAAAGTACCTCTTCCACATTTCGACGCTTCGTTCACCCACGATTGGCATTGACCGTAAGCAAAGGCGATCGTGTAGGCTTCTTGGTTGATACATCTGGAAAGCTAGGGGTTAGAGAGTGAGAGAGAGATAGAGAGAGAGATATCTTTCAAACTCACCGTTCAGTCGAAGGACACCACATACACCCCTTCCTCTGCTCCTCATCCATACAGTCCGAGCACGAGGTTGCCTCCTCACAAGCTGCTTGGCCGGCTAACGTACATAGCGTGACGTTCGGCGTCTGGGGTAAGGGCAGCGGGTAGAAGTGAGGGGTTTTCGGGAAACCGCTTCCGATCTTGGTAAGGTTGTCCAGCTCCTTGGCACGACGCTCGTTTAGCAGGAATGCTGAAAATAGGCCTGGTATAACCTAAACGTTCGCTGAAAATACCTTCTTCCTCTACGGTGATACACTGTGGTCTCGCTGCGTCGATGTACCAGTTGCAGTGGGGGAGCAGCTTGCACGAGTAGCAGTTGTGAGCCATTGCGCAGGGTCGAGGGGAACCGGCTGCGGATACTGCTGCTGCGCACTTTTCCCAGGTGGTCAGGATTGCCTAGAAGGGCAGATTCAAGTTAGTTCTGAGTGCCAGCCAAAGCCTTCGCGACACTCACCTGCGTATCCAAGCACAACTCATCACTCGGCAAGCACTGATTTTCCGTCGGGCACCACCCACAGCCATTCTGCGATGTGCATGCCACGCAGTCTTTTTGCTCTCCGCACACCGGAACGTTTTTGAGCCTAAATTTTAATTGTTTGAGACCAGAATTAAATTCCGTACTTGCTCTCCGGGCAGTACACCCCATTGGCTCGTCGCTCGTTTTTTACCACAGCGATGAAGTCGGGTTTGACACTTCGGGTGTTGTCGTATTTTTGGCACTTTGAGTCGATGTAAACGCATCTGAAGCAAAAGTAAAAATCAAAATAATGGTTTTTTGACAAACCTGACGCCGCCGTTGATGTTTTGGCATTCTTCGGGTCGGCTGGCTGAGTGGCACTTTGCTGAAAATATTGAAATAGGGCCGAGAGCGAGAGAAACGGAGAGAAACCGAAGGAGGGCGAGAGAGGGAGAGAGCGACAGATAAAAAGAACTACAAACCCGCATGGAATTCAATAATATTTGCACGCATGGTCCCGTTGAACCCTCCGATGACGTAGATCTTCTCCTTCCCGGCCACGACAGCAGTATGGCCATACCGAGCCAATTCGGGCTGTTTGAAGCTGGTCCGGTCTGGTTGCACCCAGCTCTCACATGCTAAATCGAACGTTTTTTCCTGATTTTGTTGACTCTACCAATGTCATAGATCATCATCTCTTCGTTGAAGCAATCATCAGCGATATTTCCGCCAGTGAGTATCATCAGGTTATTGAAGTAGACCGCGCGATGGAGCATCAGGCGATTCGGAGGGTTTGACGATAGTTTTTTCCTGAAATTTGGCGATGAGGTCAAAAAGCAATACTTACATTTCCCCGGTGAGCTTCAGCTGGATCAGGTCGTCGGATATGTTTGAGTGTAGAGGCTTCCCACCGTGGATCAGGATGTACTGAAAGGAATTGGAGCGTTGTGGCCATAAAGTGTGATTTACCGGTTCCGGAACATCTTCAACAAGTATCGAAGCGTGCCCGAATCTTCCGTAAGTCTGATATTCGGTATGGGTCCATTGTTTTTCTTCTGAAAAATGTATCGTTCTGTAGTTTTTCGCGCTCCAAAAACCCGGAGGATACTGGAAAACTCTAACCAACCATTAACAGGACTGAAAATAACGTATAACTTACCGAAATCGTAGACCTGGACGTGCGGGAGTTGTTGGAGAAGTGGGTTGTACCCAAAAATGACGTACATCTTCTGCTTGACGACGTGGGCGGTATGGCCAGCGACGGCCCATGGAGGTACCTGAAAACCCGACTTAAACTTTCCCTCAAAAAAAGTGTAAGCTTAAACCCAAGCAGAAGCCTGAACCTAATCCTAAGCCTAAGCCTAACCCTAAGTCTACCCCTAAGCCTAAGCCTAAGCCCGATCCCAAGCCCAAGCCAATCTAAGGCTTAACTCACTTCCAAATTCGTGTTGTTCCCATGAAACACCAGTTCCCAGGTCCTGGAGGCCATGTGGAACACCCATAACTCGCTCGTCACCTCCTTGCCCTCCTTGACCCCGCCGAACATGTAGAGTTGGTTCTAAAATCGTAAAATACAAAAACTGGCTAATTTTACAAACCTTGTACTTCACTACAGTGTGGTCATATCGGTTTTCGGGTTGATGTGAGCCTTCATCAGCAAGTTGGATAGGGGTCCAGGCTCGGGTGGAAAGATTGAAGGTGACGATCTACCAAAAAAATTGAGTAATGCAAAAGATTAAAGCGTTACCATATCCTGCTTGACTCCAGAGAACCCATAGCCGCCAACGGTCCAGATAACGTCGTTGTCGTCGCCAAGGCCATCGACTATCGAAGCGTGAGAGGCCCTGAACGAGAGTGGTAAAAAGAAAGCTAAAGTGAAAGATCGAGAGAGAGAGAGAGAGAGAGAGAGAGAGAGAGAGAGTTACTTACCTCTGCACCGTCGTCTCCCCCGTCACAACCACCGGATTCCAAATCGGAAGCGCTATCGGTTGTTGGCAATACATCCCATGATAGCCGCTGGTGCAGTTGCACTTCCCGGAATCGCAGAAGCCCTTGTTGAGGCAGGGCCCCGGGTTTTCGTCCGCGACACAGTGGGCCGTTTCACAACTGCTTCCGGAATAGCCGTCCTCACAGTGGCAACCGTCCACCTTGCAGGTGCCGTGGTCGTTGCAGTTGTAGGGGCATCTGGAAGGTGTTAAGAATTAGGATTGGGTCAGGCTTGGGCATAGGCTTGGGCGTAGGCTTTGGGATTGGGCTTAGGTTTAGGCTTAGGCTAAAGCTTACGCTTAGGCTTTGTGCCTACCTGTCAAACTCGAAGCTGATGTTGAACCCCGGGTAATTTGCCGCCATATCTGTCACAAAATACAGCACGGCGTTCCCTGAAGGCGCCATCAACTCGATCGGCTTCTCCATCTTGCCGCTAAAATCATGATCAGATTTTTTTGAGACTCTAGACTAACCAAAGCGCCGCCAGCTGTTCCTGGTAGACACCCTTGCCGTTGTAGATGTACAAAAAGTCCCAGCCGCATTCTGTCGTAAATGAGTTGAAGCGGAAGGTGGTGGGTAGCGTGGCGGCTTCATTCTCGACAATCCAAGTGCATTTTTGGAGGGATTGATAGGACTTGGGGCCGTCGAGGATTTCGGTGGACTGGTTGGTAATTCTAAAAACAAATTTTCGTGGCATTAAAGGGATAGTGAAGGGAAAGATGACAAAAACTCACTTAATCCTCCCAAAACACTGATCACACTGCTTGCCAATCCAGCCCGGTACGCAGACGCAGGAGCCGTTTACGCATGCGCCATTGTAGCATCCCGGACAGTCATGGGTGAGGGCCTAAAATGTAGATATTATACCGTACTATACGTTTAGGAAAAACGCTTAGCATCGATTAGTATACTAGCGTTTTTGAACGTCTTGAACACGTCGAGGTCCGAACGTTTTGTTTATTTTTCTATGGAGGTGAGTAAGTTTTAGGTCCAGAACTGCATTTTTTGTATTTTCAAGTTGAAAAACCCGTTCCGAACTTCATCCACCCTGCACTCACCTTTTCGAGGTCAAACCGGACCTCTGAGTGAGCAAGAACTAGGGTTGAGCAGAAGCAGCCGAGGAACAGCAATAAGGAAATGCACGGGAGATCTGGGGCACAGCGGCCCCCAGCAGGTCGCATCAGCACATATGAAAGACCTGCAGAGACGAGCCGGTTAGAGCCTTGAAAAACGGAAGTTTATGAAAAACGAGAAAAACAAGAGGAAACAGGAAAAGCATTTGCATCTGAAACTAACGAACGTCATCAAGAGAGAGCGAGAGAAAGAGAGAGAACGAGAGAGCCTTAGATACAGCTGTGTTTTCTTGGTGCGCGCAAAAGGGCGTAAAAACGAAACATCGATAAGGCATGCGGCACGCTTTTCGCAGGGCCCGCGAACAGCTTTAGGGCGTGGCTAAAAAAATGTCGCCTGTGCGTCAGTTTTCCGCCAGATAAGGATACCTTAAAAAGAAAGTGGAATGAAAAAGACACAAGTCTAACGAATTTTTTAGCTATGGATTTCACGCGAAGCGCAACGCATGAAACTCTTTTTGACGTCGAACGGTGTGTTTTCCATTACGCAATGAATTCTCGGTGCGCGTTGCGTGTCGCGGTCAGGCCAAAATATAGCAAAAAGGGGTTCTTTTACATAGTCTAGGGAAATTCCATAAAAATTCAGCTACATAAGAATAATTTAATGTATGAAATTTCGCCTTCTCAATACCTCTAAGCACAAACTACAAGATAGCGATCGCGTAAGCAAGTATTAGCTCACCTAAAAGAACTCAACCGGCTAAAGTGCCTGACTAATCCCCCTCGAGCACAACCTGGGCGTGCGGAACCAGTCTTGCTCAGCGCTCCTGGCCGAGCGAGTGACTGAATGGTCGAGTCAAGGTGGTGGAACCTTTTTTGGAGGGAGGTTGAGAGCATCCGGAATGAATCGATGAGGAGCAGGAGGTGGAGGAGGATGTCTTTTGCCACAGGCCTGTTCCCGATTATGACAGACGGGACACGCTCACTTCTCAATCCATCCTCCACCCACACGCGCCCAAGGACTTTCCCCCAGCACACGCAGAAAACCAACGACATCGATCGGTTCTGACCGTCGGGACCGGTTTGTGGTATCGGAAGTTGGCAAAAAAAATGATAATAGCTATGGTATAGTGACTTATTAATTTAGATATTCTACATTCTAGACTCTGAAAATTCTGGATTTAAATTTCCGGAACCAGCAACCCTGAGGAATTGTTTCAGGCCTAGCTGAACTGAATTTTTGTTGTTATTTTTTTTGCTATATTCTGATCTTGAAAACTAAATGAAAATATGGACATAAAGGTCAACAATAATTCGAAAAATTGAGAAATGCAAAATTTCATACTGATTTTTGAATAAAATAAAAATCGAGTAAATCCTAAGAAAAATAAAAGTATTCTGTTAATACAAATTTTAAATAAGCAAAATAGAATCTTTTTTGATGATGTGGAATGTACGCCGCAATACTCCTACCAAACCAAACGTAACCAAGTAATGCCAATAACAATACTAATCAAACAATACCAACGACAGGTGGTGGCCGGTTTTTCTCGGGGGGACGTAACCCGGGAGCGCTCATGGTAATTTATGGGCTCAGTTCCACAATGAAAAGAAAGCTGGCTTTACCGAGCAATTGCTTGGGAAATATAAAGGAAAATAGCCTCATCAGGCATCTTGGGAAAATTAAATAGGAAAGTAAATTGAGCATAAAATAATCCTGGATTTTAGCTACTAAATAACTTTCATGGAAATGTTTTGTAAACTTCGACATTTTTTTGTGTTTGTTTTTATGTGAATAACGCTAAAATTTGAACAGGATAGCTGATACGTAATAGAAGTGTATTAAGGCAAACCTGGCTATCAAAGTGTATAAAGCCTGTTTTTGACGATTTTTATAAATGTTTTTGAGCTCTGCTGAAAGCGGAAATCAACCCCTTGATCATAAAAAGCCGGAATCCACTGATCCGCCCGGCTCCAATTTACGGCCGATTCGCCGGAAGAAGGTCAATGAGATTAGAGGGAACGGTTGGTGAAATGATTGGAATGCCGCTTCATCGGCCTGTCCCTCTCACTCACTCGTCGCATGGGGACACAGTCAGTAAGTGAGATGTGGGTAAGGTGGGCGAGAGATTGAGAGAGGGAGAGAGGAGAGAGATAGAGAGGGGTGAGCGGATCGATGGAGACGATCCACACGCGTGTGAGGACTGTGCGACGACAGGACTTTCGAGAGAGCGAGAGGGGGACAACCACCCGCGCACACTTATAACCCTCCGTAGCCCGCAGGCACACACACGCGCTCTCGTCACTCACTAGCTAACGACTCGGGGGTACGGTCATTGGGGCGCAGGGTAGGGAGGGAGGTGAGGGATGGGGAAAGCTAATGGACCAGAGGGTCAATAATTGATATTACGTACCTAACGATTAACATTTGGAAGTATGACCTCAAAAATAGGGTCTGATAGTCTTATAGCAAACGAATTAATGATAGGCGTGAATTCGAGCTGTTTTTTTTCCAATAAGGAAGATGAAATTGAACGGAATAGGATACGGTAACGTCCGATTTGAATTTCTTGCGAACGTGCGCGAGAGAGACAGAGCGCGCGCGCGAGAGAGGGAGAGAGAGAGAGCGAGCGAGAGAGAGAGAGCGAGAGAGAAAGATAGAAATACAACGAAAGATGGTCGTTCTTCCGAAATTCGAGATGTTCAGATTCATTAATGGTTTTAAAGGTACCGTTAAGCCAGGAATTCGACAAGGGTTGTACTTTAAAAACTATTCAAGCAAAATTTTTGTAATTGCAATAAACGTAGTTATTACGCTTCAAAATTTGTTCAAAAGTCGTACGCATTAATATTATTTATCGCGAACTTTTCTCATTTTCCAGTCCCCCTTAAATTAGCTAAGCGCTTCTCCGATTCAGGCATAGCTTGTGAACGCAAAAAGATCTTTGCTCAGGATCATTAAAGCAAGAATCAAGCGCTGTTTCGCTTCCCTAGACGTATCCAGCGATACCTGGCTATCTTGCTTACCCCGGAAGTGGGCATGCTAACGCGGTCTGCACCCACACCACATTAATTGCGCGCTAAAATTAGCGGAAGTACACCCCCGGGAAACGGCGAAACGACTTGTTGTTCTAACTACGGGCTTTTGAATAGGTTAATTTGGCTGTCGGGATTTTGGTTGTCGGGATTCTTGCATTAAGATGCAAAAAAAGCAATTTGGAAGAATTTTGATTTTTTTTACTAACAAACTCGGGTTTTGGGACGTTTTTAAAAATCAGAACTTTTTTTTAAATCTTTTTAAATAAACACGTCTTTTTTCTTTGATGTGGGCTATTTCTTCTAAAAAAACCAACGTACTGTTGATAAACGTACGTTGGTTTTTTTAGAAGAAATAGCCAACATCAAAGAAAACTTTTAGAAGAAACACATCTTGAATAGATCCAAATGACATTTTTTCAGATAGGTTTTCCAGACATTCGTTTGCTCTGGGAAAAATGCTTTTTTCTGCAAAACCTCCCATATGCAGAAACACTCCCAAAAAATGCGAAAACCGAAATTTGGACGACTGCGGAAACGCAATTTGCGTATTAAAAGGCCGTCCGCCAGCCACCCGAACTGTCCCCATTATGGCTTGGCACAGTTTTTTTCGACGCTATTTTTATGATGCCATTTGAAAGAGCGTGGCCGAATTAGTAGGGTGGCATAGTTTTGAAAGTTTAAAAAGTTGGTTTTTGGGGTTTAAATGGCCGTTAAAGTTGCCGACATCGAAAATCTATCTCGAAAATTACTGGTCCAAATTTGCAGAAAATTTGTGACAATACCTAATTTTGGATGGAGATCATTTCTCTAATACATTTTGAAACCTGAAAACGGCTGGAACATAGGAATCTCGCGTACTAAAAACAGTTTTTTAAGATTTTCTACTTAATGGGAAAACGGCGGCATCCTGAAAGTAGCATAGAAAGATGCACCAATTTTTTCTACGTCGAATGATGTGTCTTTTAGGATGCCGCCGTTTTCCCATCATCTAGAAAAGTCGTGATCTCTGGAATCAACAAAAGTAGCCTTAGAAGATCGGGGGCTGCTAATGAGAAATATAAAGGATTGCGGAAAGCATCTCAAGTTCAATGCCACCCATTATCAAAAAAGAGCAAATTTAAATTCCTCATCTACGCGAAGTTGATTACGGAGGGGAATCGAACCAGCGATGGTCCGCCTGGGGGGCGCGGGGGACAGTGGCTAGAGGGCGCCGCCACCTCCCAGGCGAACGACCCGAGTTCAATCCCAGCCCCCTTTTAGAAACCGAATCTCTTTTTGCTCTTTTTTGCAATTGACTTGGCTGCGCTTCTAGAAGCAAGTGGGTAACTCCCCGTTTGCAAATCTGGATATTTTTCTTTTTTTTCATCAAGAAAATGCCGTTTTTACAGATGATGGGAAAACGGCGGCATCCTAAAAGACACATCATTCGACGTAGAAAAAATTGGCCCATCTTTCTATGCTACTTCCAGGATGCCGCCAATTTCCCATTAAGTAGAAAACTTTAAAAAACTGTTTTTAGTACGCGAGATTCCTATGTTCCAGCCATTTTCAGGTTTTGAAATGTATTAAAGAAATGATCTCCATCCAAAATTAGGTATTGTGACAAATTTTCAGCAAATTTGGTCCGGAAATTTTCGAGATAGGTTTTCCATGTCGGCAACTTTAGCGGCCCTTTAAACCCCAAAAATCAACTTTTTAAACTTTCAAAACTATATGGCCCCACTAATTCGATTATGCTCTATCCGATGGCGTTAAAAAAACAGGGTCGAAAAAAACTGTGCCAAGCCTATTTCGGTCCTCCCGCAAACGGCCTTTTAAAACCACTTGTTGATAATTTCTAAACCTCATATAATGTCATTGAAATACCACACAATTTCTCTATAAGACATGTGACCACTCCTCCGGTTTATTCATGTGTTTTTGTGCATTTTTACGCGCGGCCAGTTGCACTCCCGGGCCGGCTTGTTCCAGCTGCTGAACTGGTCGTTCATGTGAAGCCATCGCCTAGGGCCCGGGCCATGGCCTTTTCGGGTAAATAGTGAATAAATATTCGGGCCACCCTCTCTGAAAAC